TATTGTAATAGGCAATCATATCCATTTGTATGTTATGGATCATTTGTATTTAAAATAATATGGATGGCTGTTAACTACAGGATAGATTTTCTGTATGGTTTATTCTCTATTCCCAGCTGATGTTCAGCAAGAATGATAACTACACTGTCTGATATACAGATATGTGTATAGCATATAGGCATAACAATTCTAAGAATGTGCTATAGTTTTCCCATTAATCTTGCTAATATTGTTGTGACCTCTCAAGTGACCTCATTATGGATGTTGAAAGTTTTTTGAAGCTTTAGAAATTTGATGCAATCAACATAAATCTTCATTGCAGGTTTTACTGAGCAGTAAGACCACTGTAATATTGTGCAAGGAAGACCTAGAAAGGCCTTGAAATAAGTTATCAGTTAAAGTTTCTAAGGGCTGCACTTCCTATTTTCGACATTTAGTACAGAGATAAATGTTTTTATGACTGCATGCTTTTCTCCTGACTTGCTGGAAAACACCCATTATGTTTTGTGTGATTCATCCCTGAAACTGATGTAACAATATCTGTTATGTCAAACCTAAAGATAGATTAAGAAATACATTTAGAAACAACATATTTGTGCTGTAACCCATAGCAACCATCCACCTATGCTCAATGAGGTTTATTTGATAAGCAAAAGCAAAAAAGTAATGATGGCTACAGTCAAAAGGTTTATAAATAAATCACTTACAATGGATTCTGCTCCTTGATGTTTAAAAGTTTTAGTCTCCTGCAGAATCATCTGGTCCCCTGAGCACTGGCCCTGATATCCGATTTTGGGATGGCTCTTCTCCCTTGCAGGGTCTTATTGCGCCACCCTTAGTAAGGTATGTATGTCTCTACAAACACACAGACACAGCAAGTCGGGAAGTGAGAGAACACATACCACCAATCGCTGACTTCCTGACCCTCTCCCTGCATAGAACAGTGACTGCCAGTCACCGCTCCCCGCAGGGATTTCCCCCTCCCCTCTCCGTTTCTCTAGCACTGACTGGAGGGATGGATGGGGGAGAGGCAGGCACAGCTGGCTCTGCCTTAAGAGAGGCAGAGCCGGCTGTCAATAAGCCAGCATGGTGGATCTCAACAGTATTGTCAGGATCAGCCCCGGCTGCAGCGATAGCCCACTATATACTGAGTTTTGGGTCACCGGAGGACATTGGTATATGTCCACCGATGACCCTGAAGTGAACTATGGCCAGAAAAGGTTAGGGCATAGCTCTCTTTTAAATTATTGAACACCAACACGTGCAATACAAATTCAGGTCATGCTCCTCTCTAAATAAGAAATGCAGCACTTTCAGGGAATTGTCTGTTCTACACAGTAAATGTGGAGTTAGAACTAATCCAACTGCACAGATCTAAGCACCCAAGGAAGGTCAGGGAATGGGGGGATGCAGGCATAAGTCAGCGGGCAGACTGGATCTACTATTTGAAGAGGAAAAGTAATGGTGCGCTGCTAGCGCAGTTCTTGTTATAAGATTACAGTACAGTGAGCAGTGTGGATGGCGCAATGAAAACATGGTTCTCGGTGTGTTCTGTGCAACTAATAAGTATGAATACATGACAACCTCTGAAAATGGCAGCATTTTATTATTTTAACATACAAAATAGAAGCAATTTTATATATATATATATATATTTATTTTTTTTACTGTATCTTACCCTATTTTTCTACTAAATTTCAGCTGTTGTGTAGACATAAAGTATACGGTAGCTATTTAAAGTTAAACTGTGGGCTCCCCTTACCTCCTAAGTGGCCAAAGGTCCATAAAGCAGACACCTCCAGGTACCTGCATGTATGCTTTGATTTTTTTAATAAATTGTAGTGGGGTTTACTTTGAATACCCAATCATCTACACATGAGATAAAAAATAAATAAACAGGAATTTGCTTCTGACAAGATTGGATAACTGAAGTTATTGAGAAAAGATTCTCAACACCTTTTATTGCCTGAAGTATTTATGCTTTCAAATTTCTTTTGTTGCTAAAGCACAGTGGTGTATGGAGAGTATGTATGGAGAGTAATGCCTTTAAACACAAACTATTGGGCCCACAATGTAAAGCTGCCCGTGAAAACATATGGAGGAACTAATTTATGCATAAAAGAACTGTTAAGGGTTTGTTTCCAGAGTAGTATAAACTTTTCTAATAACATCACCTATAGTAACTTACAAGCCAAAGATTGGCTTGGCCATGTTAACAGCTCTGCACTAGAATGGACTCTGCTCACTTTCATGGGCAATTTTAAAGTGATTTGAGTAAATTGGTCCTTTAGCGTTTTTACAGACATACTAACATTTTCAGTATTTGCATATACTATACATCATATTTATATAAAGCTAACACTTTTTTATTGCTTTGGATAAAGTAGGAAATAATGTATCTAAACATGAAAACCAAAAAACTCATATATTGCTGCTTACCATGCATTAGAGGCGATGCCTGCATTTCTTTATTTCAGTTTTTTCCCTTTATTATTCGCTGGTAATCATTTGTAATCATCTGTCACTGGGTGGCTTCATTTACTCCTTTATTGTATTCACAGAAGTAACCCTGATTGCCACCCAGGCTTGATTAAAAAAATTATGCTAAAATGATGATGCCTGATTTCAAACATGTCCTCCATTCTTTATCTCCATTACATGGGGGGATCATTGGATTACTAATTTGCACAAGAAAGATAACATTGTTTGGCTTTTAGTTCATATAGCAGGAAGTGATAAGGACACAGCATTTCTAGCAAGATCAACAGGCACTTATTGTACTTGCTGAAAATGTTTCTTAGCCAGTCACATGAAAACTAATTCAGCCATCACATCCTAGGACTGGTGAGCTTGAATATATTGCATTTATGTTATTGGGTCTAGATCTATGTTAAGATCCCAGTCACAAGCTCTCCAAAGCAAGACTTGAGACCGTTATCACCAGAACACATTTCCCCATTGGGAGATTTCCCCTCCTGTTCCTTTCTGTACAAGAGACAGAGGTCACCAAGACTAACAGAGCTGCGAATTTCCCCAGTGGGAACACATACAGCAATAAAAACCTGACAGATGTCCTAACTCATACACAGTTTATCAAAAACTAAAATAAAAACCTTTGGCTTTACATACACTTTAAAGACAAGACAACTTGCATCAGCTCATTAACTCATAGCAACCAATCAGTATTCATCAATGTGTTATTTTACAACCTGGTCTGGTGCTTGCAGAGATGCAGACTTTTCATAAATTGCTTAATAAGTATATAACTGTATGTTAAAGAACATCAATATAATACACTTGGATATGTCATAACCATCAAATACTATACTGCACTTTTGTTCTGTAATAAACGTTTACAATTGAATTTTCTAACCCCCTATATATTAATAGCCATCAGCTAGTGGATTACATTTTGCAAATATTATTAGTGGACATTTTTTGCACATATACTCTCCAATGTCTGTTTTCAGATTAATTATCTTGAACTATATAGGTAATCTTGTATATGCAAGATGCAATGGTAAATTGATTGATTAATGGCTAAGCAATTTTCCCAGATATAGAAATGGCACAGAACAGAATTGATCCTAACATTAAATAAGTTAGAGACGGTGTGCAAAGTTCAGTAATCATAACACCTAATCAACAATCATCTTTTATTATTCTAACTGTTCCAAACAAATAAAACTTGAAATATGGTTTCTGTGGGTTACTGCACATAGCTTAGTGCCACTGCTTATTGCATTGCATTAAGGCCCAACTCTGCGATTAACCTCCGTGGCGGTATTCCCGAGTCTGGCTCGGGGTTAATTTTCAGTACCAAGAGCGGTAACCCCGAGCCAGACTCGGGATAGCACAAAAGTGTCACTTACCTTGTCCCTGCGAGCCCACGGTGTCCTCTGCTGTACGCGGCCGGCCGATGCCGGCTTCTGAGTTTTTTAGTTTCGTTTTCGGGGGCAGAGCCGGCAGGAAATTCAAAAGTGAAAACATGACATTTACACAGAGTACACAAAATACAATGTAATCTACTATGATTACTCGTATGTATCAAACTATTTCACTTCAATTTTGTCCCTAGAGCTTTGTCCAAAACAATGTACCACTTTGGCATGCTAAAATCATGAATAATCATACCGCCAGGGAGGTTAAGAAGAAATAAAACCCTTGCAGTGGGTCCTTCCAGCACTGCAAGAGTCAAGTCTGGGGTGTAGAGGACGAGGTGTTATTACTTACCCTTGATCCAGAAGGCTCCAGCAATCTCCTTTCCACCTTGACGGTCCGGGCTCTGGACGGCCCCTTGGCGTCATAACGTACAATGTGCTACATTATATGTGGAGGAGACAAGCTTGCAACTGCAACCAGGAGCACTGAGAGAGGATGCTTTGTAGGGCGCACAGACCAAGGGAGCCTGCCAGAGTGAGTTGTAAGTTAGGTATTACTCTTTATTCCTCTACCCCTGGACAAACTGATCATATAACCCTTGCAAAGCTGGGGGGCCCCACTGCAATGATAGTTTTTTCTAGTGCCCGGAGTTAGGCATTAATAAATAAGGCCAGTGTTTTCAATAGTACTGTTTGCAATGTAATAATTTTCTTATCATACAAGTCTAAATTTAGATATTCTGATTTTAATTATTCTAAAATGTTATCTATATGATGAAAAGGTTTATATTTTATGAGCTACAGTAGTACAGCGAAGTAAAAATAGCTTAATTGCCATCAGTCCTCCAAGTATCCTTGTCCCAAAAGAAGCTCACTATTTCAATTTTATATATTTGTAGCATCAATAAATTTAGCCCATATTGTAAAAAAATTAGATATTGTGCAGTTGTCACTTATTATGTGACAATATTAAGGCTATGCACTATATTCACCAGAAATAATCAAGTGCATATCCAAATACAACTTGCATTGCCTTGTATCACTAATCCAAGTGTATAACAATGTTATACTATAAATATGTTTGATGTAGCAAAACTAAGCAAGATTTTCTCTCCCCAGGTATAAAGGAGAAGAGCACTGATTGGGCTGAATTCCTGATTCATGATTTGACTGGTTCAAGGACTGCGCCAGCAAAACTTTTAGAGGGAGTATGTATAATACTTATACGTGTATATATAGACTAATCTGATTTTTAAAAATAATTATTCTTATTTTAAACTCAAGTAAATAGTGGTGTTTTTTTTCACAAAAATGTTTTTTTTTTTATTGAGCATAGTAAAACATACAAACTGTCAGGTAGCTCCAGAATAGGTTACAAAGCACATACGTGCGTAACATGCTTGATATCGAAGCTCACTTGAACATATTATAAGATATGTGCTCAGACAACGGTCCGACGTGTGAAAGCGCAGTGTAAAACTGACTGCATCTACATCCCAGCATACAAAGGTAGGCTTGTGGTAAAGCTTGTGCTTCTGGGGAAGGCGTAGTAACTGAAGTTGAATATCAGTAAGTATTGAATTGATAGCAAGAAGGAAGAAGGGAGAGAAAGCCAGGAGGCACAGAGTAAAAGACACTGGGTGTGAAGGACGGAAAAATAGGAGGGCAAAATAGGGGGAAACTTCTGGAGACTTGGTAGAACCCAGGTCTTCACGCCATTTGGCTACATAAGTTGGGGGTGGGGAAGAGGGAGGGGCAGTCAATTGGGAATAGAGCATCAAAATAAGTTTTGGGGTTTAGGGATCTTTAATGCAACGTTCAAAAATTGATAGCAGGAGAGGTGGAGTTCCATTTTTAAGGAGAGATTGAATCCAGTGTCTCAGCTGGAGATAACGAAAAAATTCCCTCGGTGGGGGATTGGAATTAGCTACAAAGGAGTCCCTGGTACGTATCCTGGCACCATCAAGGAAAAGGTACATCAGGGAGTACCCCTGCATAGGCCACCAGGCAAAGGCTGAGGGAGTTTCTTCTGTCGGTGGAAACATTGGGTTCCCCATTACTGTGGTTAGGGGTACATGGGGAGAAAGCAAGTGGCTAGAGTATTTAACCGAATCCCAGTCTCTTAAAAAGTGGAGAAGAAGGGGGCTTAGGTGTGCAGGCCTGGTAGAGGGGGGCAGCCATGGAATGGTAGAGAGAGCAGTTGGATGGGCATTGGGCAGTTCTAGGAGGACCCACAACGGGACGTCCACGGTGGCATGAAGAGCCACCAGTGGCGCTATTTGGGCTGCTCTAAATATCTTCCCCTTTAGATCAGGGAAGATATACAGTCCGTCTAGCTACCCTGGGGCGCTTATATTGCCAAATAAAGGACATGACTGAGTTTTGAAGAGATCTCAAGGCAAACATGGGAATTGGGATTGGCAGGGTCCTCAAATTGTATAAAAGTTTAGGAAGGAAAGTCATTTTCACTGCTCAAATACGGCCAAGCCTCAAGTAAATAGTTTTAATAGGCTCTATGTTATTTCCTCTACTCTCTCTGCTATTCATAGAGCTTGAATTACTATTATCCCACAAATGCAAACGATTTGTATGAATGAAGGAGAGAGCAGTTGAATGGTAGAATCTCCACTATCCATTCACAGAACTTGATGCATTGTGGAATAATAGTTATATGAGCTCTGGGAATGACTGAGAAAGCAGAGGGGTCAGGCTAGCAACGCAACTTTTCAGACTAGCAATTTACAGACTAGACTGACCGCAGGTTCTCACAGCGACAGAAGACTGCTAATGAGTGTAACATCGGGTGGCTATGAAGGGGACACTGAAGTGAAGATTTTTACAAGAAGCAGCTGCTGCAGGTAATGGCATACACACTATTACACATAACTTCAGCTTTAAGACAATAAACATCTTGTTAAAAAGTATGCAACGTACAACATAGTGTATAGAGTACAGCAGTCAGGTTTATTTAATGAGCATCATAACGTATAAAGTGCATCAGTCAAGATTGTATTCTAGCAATCTATTCAGCAGCTATAGAGGAACAACAAATCCCAGCAATAATACATTATACAGAGTGTTTAATGTATTATTGCTGGGATTTGGTGTTCCTCTATAGTTGCTAATGTTCTGCAGTGTGCCGCTTAAAAAAAACCAAAACACAACAGAAAACATTAAAAAGCTCCCGGCCGATCTCGACTTACTTTGAATGACGGTGTTGTCGGCGGGCAGCGGCGTTGTTGGTTGTCGGCGAGTCAGGAAGCTCACCGGGAGGAGAGGGCCAGACGCTTGTCCTCAGCGTGCGGTGGGCGTGGCTTATGCGGCGGGTGAGGGAGCTCACGGCGGGTGAGGGAGCTCAACCCATGAATGTGTTTGTAGCACTAAAACAAGCTAGAGAAATGAAAAAGGTACAGAAACATTTAGATACACTTTTGTAAGCTTTAGCAGATCAAAAGATACGGAACCATTTTTTGTGCCGCTGTCGATATGTAGTAACTTTGGAAAGTCATACTTTATAAATGACAAGTAAAGAAGGAAGTAGAGGAATGCCAGATCTGGAGACCTCCCATTTAAAAAACAGAAGTGGCATCATGTGAAATTCCACTTAGGAAGAAGGTTGAGCATTGTCAGACAATAACTTATGTGTATCTTCAAGCTCGTTACAATAATATGCCAGAATTACTGGCTTGCTGTGCAGGACTCGCTGAATATAGAATAATGGCTCATTCACAGATATTAGTTTACACTCTCAAAGTGACACTAAATTCATTAGTTAAACCTTAAAAATGCATTCAAGTACCACAACTGTTAAAAGAAATGTATCTTATTTGTGTATCACTCAACTGTAGATTATCAAATCATCTCTGATTTCATGCTGACACTGTCCTTCCTTCTGGAGGGTGGCTAATTTTGTTCCCCATGGTCCCTGTGTGTGTTGTAGAGTAACTACCACTCCAAGCTCGCTCCTGTGATGGACTACAATAGCAATACAAATTACGAACCTAAACGTGACATTATAGTCCTTCACGGGAGTGAGCTTGTAGTGTTGGCCACTTTATAACGCACACAGGGACCATGGGGAACAAAAGTAGCCACCCTCCAGAAGGAAGGACAGCGTCAGTATGAATTCAGAGATGATTTGAGGATCTACAGCTGAGTGATACACAAATAAGATACATTTTTGTTACTAGTTAAGGTACTTGAATGCATTTTTAAAGTTTAACTCCTGAGTTTAGTGTCACTTTAATTATTCAGCTGAAGAAATATATAGTTTATTCTCCTTGCAGAATGGGGCTAAAAGCTGTTTGAGGAATATCACATTTCATGTTTTTAGACCTAAAGAAAATTCATAGGCTGAATCTTCTGTTATTTTATACAGTTAACACCATAAATGTTGTTTACTCTTGAAGTGACTCTTTTCTTAACACATAGTATGATATGCCTTTAAAAAAAAAGAAAGAACAGAGGTGTTCACTAACTGCAGGACAGTTAGTTGTCAGGGCAACCATCTTACAATGTCTAAATACCACAAAAAAAAAATGTTTTTCAGGTTTTGTCTATGACATCTGTTAAAAGGGGTCATCGGAGCCCAGTGGATAACCACTATTAAAATCTCTTCTTTTATGTGATTAAAAGACTTTTAGTATATAACTAATGCATCTTCATTTTTACATAAATTCATGCACACTTTTGAACGGCAAGTATGTTTTATTAGGCAGAGTATGAGAATTGCATCATTTATTGATATAGTGTTGTTGAGTTGGGCTAGAAATCAGAGTCAAATTAAGGAAAAGTATACATTTAAATATTGATCATTTTCATAAGGCATTAGAAAGATCAATATGAATATGCACCGAGCAACAGTAATTGGATTTCAGTTTTGTCCTGTCAGATGGGTATATGATGATGTCTGTTTGCTGTATCAAATAAGGCCATTGGACTTTCATTGCTGCTGTTATTAGCTGTACATTACATTATCATTATCTGTAGTAAAAGGGATGTAGGAGTAGGTAGGAGTTCTGTAAGCTGGCTATAGATACCAGATGAGCATTAGTTAGCCTGGACATTTTCTTCAGGGGAACCATTGATTGAACATGTTTTGAAAGTGCCCACTTATTATTTCTCCTCCTTAAAATGGTGCCACCAATGCCTCCTTACTGTTACTTTTTCCATAGGAATGAACATTCTTAGGCACTCGTTTCATCCATAGTTTTGCTTGAGCTTGGCAAACAGAACTTTTCTTAATGTCTACTTAATCATCTGAAATCTACAGCTAGTTTTACTCACCAAAGCAACACTATAAGATCACCACTGTTACACGTAACTTTTTATTGTTTTGTTGGCCCTAAATTGGCTTAGTATATTGTGACAATGTGTAAAAAAGCTTATCGAAGTTGACCGTATTTCAGTGAGTCAATAGTGGGAGAAATGTGTGGTTGCCAACAATAGGTAAAGTCACCTCTGTCTTACTACCTAAAGGCATATTCCTACTGAGCCTTATAGTAAATCCAGCCCTGCAATTGGGGTTGTCATACCATAGAAAGTAATAATACCACCTGTAATGACACTTAAAATATGCAATATTTAGTGTCTAGTTTAGAGTATTATGCCCAAAATATTAAAATGGAATTTTATATTATTGCCAGAAACCTATACAAACATTTTCAATTACTGTTCATGCATACACTTCCATATTCAACAAAGCAATGCAAACAGGCATGATAATGTACATATTACTATAGCCAAAAACAAACAATCTAAATTCAGTTAACTGAAGTAACAGTAATTATAGAATCATTTATGTTTGGTTGGTGAGTTTTTTTTACATAGATCTGGTTTCCTGAATATGCTTGATAGTGTTTGTCAATGTTCACTTATAGAGAAATATGTGCCAAAAGATACAGGCATAACAAATACATTATTTGCAAACATGCTAAGTTTTAATTTTAGATCAAAACTTAACCACTTGAGTCTTAGGGCATTATATGTTTCAATATATCTAATAGTCACTGAAACAACTTTATAAAACAAAAAACATAAAAAGAAACCGCTGAAGTGTCAAACTTGATAACACTTTGATAATACTCTTTCCTCATTACTATAATGAGCAGTATGGGTATTATATATTATAAATATGTTGTCAAGACCACAGAAACCATTCTATTTTTCTGTATTTTACATTAGAAATCCAAGCCAGAATATCATAATTAAGTAAACTTACTATATATCTCAAATAAATTACATTTTGCCTTGAAATTTTTTACGGGTTATAGTTTAACCATATAATTAAATCATCTATTTTTTACTCCAACAGCCTCTTCGAGGAAAAACCCCAGTAGACCTCATTACAGTGGATTCACTGATAGAGCTTCAGGACTCCCAGAACCCCTTTCTGTACTGGATAGTCAGTGTGATAGAAAATGTGGGTGGAAGACTACGACTGCGGTATGTCGGACTGGAGGAGTCAGATGCCTGTGATCAGTCGTTGTTTTACTTGGACTGTAGACTTCGACCTGTTGGCTGGTGTCAAGAAAACCAGTGCAGGATGGAACCACCTTTGGGTACGTTGTGAAGAAATGCTCAGATCTTTTTTCTTGCCATCTAAAGTATTTAACACAAATCCTCTTGGCCCTGTCACACAATTTGTGCAACACTTCACAAATACTTCAAGACAGGGTTAGGTGAACTGCTACTTAAACACTAGTTTTCATTGGCACTCTACTTTAATATCAAGTACATCATAAACAGCCTCCAACTGACCTTATCCTTAGCCAGTAGTGTCTGTGCACTTGTTGGACTGCTAAGGAAGATTTATTATATAGAAGCTTCATGATCTGGGCACAGGTTCCCTTTAAAGTTACTCCCTGTTTGTCTATACATTTTTTTTTTCATTTTTACGTGATGGTGAACAATTTTAACTACACACAGGATTCTATTGAACTTTGTCAGAGCTGTTTCCTCGTGTACCTTGTGCACGTGTCATAGTTAGGATTCCAATAAAAAAGACACTCCTTGCTCTCTTATCAGATCTTTAACGACCGGGTTTGTTAAGTTACTTCAGTTTAGTTATGCTTTAGGTTTCTGTTGTGTCTATCTTTAGCCTACTACCTTCATGTGCGTTCAGTGTGAAGGTTAATAGTTAAAGCTTATGTTCATTATTATAAGCTGTGCAATATAAATCATCCCCTTCCTGTGTGTGAACATTGAGGGCTTGTTCACACCAAGTGCGGAGCAGATTCAGAGCAGAGCAGTTACAGAACACTTCAAAAATGCATTCAATGTATTACAATGGTATTTTGGGCTCTAGTTCACACCACAGCGTTCAGTTTCAGAGCATGTGGAAAGACTGCAGCATGCTCTATTGTGTTCTTCATCAAAAATTTTTGGCTAAAAAAATCCCAGACTGCAACTCGTCAAAAACGTGTCAAAATGCACTACACTGCATATGCAGAAACTCCTCCAGATCTGGTCCTGATTTGGTGTGAACGAGTTAGCTCTCTGGTTTCCTATGATCTATCGTTTATAAAGATTTAACTAAAAGAATGCACGTTTTTAAAAGTAAAAACTGTGAATGATGCCTGTAAAACAAGCTACAGAATAAAAGATGTAAATCCTAAATAAAAGGTTGAAATCCATATTAGTGAACTATCTCATCTACCAAAATATTTGCAATTCTGTTTAGCCAGTCTTGTGATTCAGACAGCCCTGTTTGACAATATAGCCATCTCGTTGACCTTACTTTTCTCCACAGCAGTTAAAGGAAACAGCAGGGTCATTGATTCATTACAACCTGCTGATTGGAGAATTAGAGAACACCACCACACACTGTTGAGGTCAACACTCTGATCTATTCTCCTACCATCATTCTTCCAGTATTATAGTGACCAGTACTGTGCAGGCCTAAAGATTCACCCCAAGCATGCTTAGGCATAAGGGAAGGTCTACAAACATACAAATGTTTCCTGATCCAATTTTAAATGAGCAGATGAAACAAACCTTTTTTTAATATAATAAATACATGGCAATCAGGGACAGAACTACCACTGGCGTAGCCAGTGCAGTTGCACCGGGGTCTGAGGCTAGAGGCGGCCCTGAGAGATGGACCCCCCCTTTCATGGAATACAGGGCGGTGCAGGGTTCCTGGGGCCCAAAGGGGGGGTAGGGGTGTCCGACTGGCTTCTGAGCGGTGGGGTGGGGTCCGATAGGTTCCCACTCAGACCCCGAGCTGCGTCCCTAGTAACAGGCAGCGGGAGAGGGGCAGGTGCTGGGAGAACTGAAGGAGAGCTGGAGAAGGCGTAAGGAGGAGAGCAGGTGAGAGATGCAATGCATCCAAGTAAAGAGAAAAAATCTTGCACCAGGGCACTTTGTTTCCTAGGTCCGCCCCTGTTGGCAATCCACTACTAATCAGAGAATTTAAGTGATTTGTATAAGCCAAATTTACCCTCAACCTCTCTGTCTTCCTCTAGAGCATAACCTAGCCTTATTTTTTTAATTTTTCCTTGTTCCTCTAGCAAGAAAAAGCTTTTATTACACCCAGTGACATGATCACCAGGCATTAACAACATGCGGTTATTTCCTGTTATTTTGATTGGCAGCTCATAAAACATTGAGGGCAATGGATGAACTTGTGAATAAATGCGCAAAAACCCTCTAGTCTATGGGGGTAGAACTTTAAAAATCAAATGTCCCAATTTTGAAGCCTTGTATGCAATTTATTGGCCATAAAAAAGTGTATGGGGAGTCGGGTAATGCCCTGGGGGACAGGAATCAATGAGAAAAAAAAAACTTTTTAAAAATGCAGTTTTTGAAGGAGCAGTGATTTTAACATCACTTCAAGGGTAACAATAAAAATGAAAAATTCCTTTAATTATCATGCCTGGTGGGTCCCCTTATACTGCCTGTAAAGCGACACATCTGTACGATGTATAGAACCTGCTGCAGCAAAACTGACATTTCTAAAGAAAATAAAATGATATATATATAATTTTTTTTTATTAAAGCCTGCGGTTCCCCCTCCCAAACAATACCAGATCCTTTAGGTCTGGGAGGAATGTTAGGAGGGACCCCATTTAAAAAAAAAAAAGCGTGGGGTTCCCCCCAAAAGTCATACCTTACCCTTAAGTTCTGGTAGGAATATTTAGGAGGGACCCCATGTAAAAAAAAACAAAAAAAAGTGTGTGGGGTTCCCCCTCAAAGTCATACCAGGTTCTTATGGTCTGGTAGATACCCTACCCCTAAAAATGGCGGGGAAAGAAAATGGGGTGCACCCCTAAAATTCCATTCCAAACCCTTGATCCGAGCATAGGCCTGGCAGGGCTGGAAAGGGGGAGGGAATGAGCGAGCACCCCCCCCCATACCAGGTCACATGCCCTCGGTACTGGGAGGGTGCTTTTCCAGGGTCACCCCGGGAAAAGCACCTTGTCCCCGTGCCGATGGGGACAAGGGCCTCTTCCCCACAAGCCCTGGGGCATTGATTGTGGGGGTGCAGGCATGGGGCTTATTCACATCAGGGTACCCCTTTAATAAAAGGGCACACACATGCAGCCCCCCCCCCCTTGTGAATGAGTAAGGTATACTTGTACCCCTACCCATTCACTAAAGGGTTAAATAAAAGATTAAATAACAGCAGACGTTTGTCAAAAATCCATTATTTGAGAAAAACTCCTAGGTGTGAACCAGGTCTAAATTGTATTTTTGTAGAGAACACATTGAATGCTACAAAATGCTGAAAAAAATCTTGTCTTTTAAAAATGTAAACATTTTATGTGCACGCTATGATAAATTGTTTGAATGTGTGTTTTGTTTCAGACATTTGTCCACTGAAGACCATATCTGAATGGAAATGTGCCCTAGAGAAGTCCCTGATAATTTCTGCAAGGTGTCCTTTACCCGTTGAAGTTTTTAAGGTAAGAGAATAAGAGATTCCACTTCACCATTAACTGGTTATCATGAACCCTATACCCTACTCCACAAAAATCATGGTAACGGAGCTCCAAACAGTTGCGTGTATGCTCGGTAAATGGAAGTAGAGTAACTCTCATTAGATTAAAGTCTGCGTAAACCCAAAATCTATTTGGTTAGTATGTTAGCACCATGCCACACTGTACACACATTTCTTAAATTATTTTTTGTGTGAATTTGTTGTAAACCTAGAGATACTGCCTTTAACAGCTCTTCCTATTGCAAACTCACACGACTAATCCACTGCCTCACAATTAGCAGCAGCCTGCTATGTATGCTCCGTCAGTTGGCTGTTGTGTCGACTATTTAATAAACCAAAAATTTAGCCCAAGGGCCAAAGAAGTGCACTTGGCAGACTGACTATGCTGCTGCATTTTGTGACTTTCTCTTTAACTAGTTTGAATTTACCTTTAGTCTACTTTGCATTAGCATTAAAATAGCAGGTAATAACAGAGCACATGCAGTTATACATTTTACATGCGTTTCTTTCTTCTTCTGTGCTGATGTCTGTGTTTCATAGTTAATATAAGAGTCATTTAACTGGATAAATGGGCTTTCTCAAGTTCTGAAATTAGTATTTTCCACAGAAGCTGTGTGGAGTATAAGAAAATACAAGTAAACACATTTAACCTCACAAGGCTCTGCATAGTTGAAAGGAATCTGCCACAGGAATGCAATTACATAGCTTGACAGCTGACTTGTTCTGCAGGAAGGGCTTTAAGCTGTACAGTAGAATTGAGCAAAGTGTTTAAAATGTTCTGTGCCATAAGTTGCACCTTGATCAGCTTTCTGCCACAATCTTCCTTTTTTTGTTAAACTTGGAGTGCTGGGCATGAGCAAACATTTACATTTGTTTTCAATTTTTGTCTATTGTTGGCTGATGATGGAAGGAAAAACATTTTAGAAACATGGTTCTAAATGTAAACAGTACTTCTGTATACATTTTATCCAGCCAGTAATGGATGACACCAGCCATGTGCAGTAAGTCAATAGCACTCCAGAGCTATTTTTTTTTTTAAAAGCTTTGTAAAACAAAGTTAATTTTACTGACATCTTGGGGCACTGCAGTGCCCCTTTCAAGGCAACATAGTAACCAAATCATAGTGACCAAGCAGACAAAATTTTAAATTTTACTTATCAGCCTATCCAATTCCGAGACCACGGTTTCCCTTTGGAATCTTTTGGTGTCCTTTTGTGCCATGACACATTTGATAGTCAGTCTCATTCCCAAGTTCCAGTGTTGGTGACATCTCTTTCTCCACTTGGTGCGCTAATAGATGTGCATGCTGCCTGCTTTGGAATTAAAGTGCACAATGTAGTCATAAAATGCTTTGTTTGCCCTCAGAGGTATATATACAGTGGAATTCAGTCTTCCATCTAAGCATATCAATTCACCCAGTAATGAATCATTGATTCACCATGAAAATATGTGTACTAGTATGTTGTTTATATGTCAATAAATATATATATTTGGTTAGATGGAGGAGTCCTGGCTCACACAGAACAATTCATCCATCATTAGTAATAATGCTCTTTCCATTGACCTCAACTTTACTGGCCAGTTTAAGAAAATGAGAGGTTAACAACATTTTTCCAAAAGCGTGTAACTTCAGGTTTTGGATCAGATTATATAGACTTTTGAAGTGTGATTCCACTATTACAGCCATTTTGGGATAGCACCTTCTGCTTTATATTTGTTACATGTTTCCTTCTACATAGTAGATCTTAAAAAAATATTTACAAATTCATGTTTACCTTTTTAAGTGCTGTTTACATGCTTAAAGTGACATTAAACCCTCATATTTTTTAACATAAAACAATAGTGTAATGTGTGCCTTACTCTAATCCATGGTTGTTTCCCTTCTCTTTGCTGCTCTTCTTTTTAAATCTGCATCTCTGCTCATGCTGGGCAGAACTTCTGTTTTGCAGCAGACTGCCTTGTCTCTGAAATGGATACATGGTGTCTGTGTGTAGGTTTGCAACCTGAGCCAGCACTACAGGAAGAGGCACTCAGCTGCAAAGGGAAGTTCTCCCCCAGCATGAGAAAATATACGGATTTAAAAGGAAGAGCAGCAAAGAGAAGGGAAACAACCATGGATTACAGTGAGGCACACATTACAGTACTGGTTTATGTTAAAAAATCTGAGGGTTTAATGTCACTTTAACAATCCTACCTCGCTTTCCCCCATGTAATGTTAAGGAGGAGGCTGCATAGTTTATGTTCACAATAATTAACCCTGTCTGTACCATGCTGGCAGTAAAGTAGATTTCAACACTGTCTAACAAAGAGCTAACAATCCCAAGCCTTGTGTTCTGTTAATAAGGGAACACTCACTTGGTTGTTCTGATATTGTTTAGAACAGCTTGCAGTGCTGTGTATAATGTTCTGTATGACTTCAAAGTGGAACTACACTTTAAATGGTCCACACTTATTTATTTATTTGTGACATTAAATACTGAACACATTATAGAGTTCATCCTATTGTTTTAGTTGATTTGATGGAATTTATGTGTTTTTTTAAAGGATCATGCTGACCTAAGGAGCCATTCCTTTACTACTGGAATGAAAGTAGAGGCAGTGGACCCAACTGAGCCTTGTCATATTCGTCCTGCAACTGTGACTAAGGTAAGTAACACTGACAACAATGTATATGAATGGTATACACTTCAGTGAAGCTGAGAACATCTATCTGTTTGGTTTATTATTCACAAGCCATGAAGCTTAAGCAGGGGGTTCTGGGATATGCTAATGCTGTGACTCCTAAATCCCAATTTCAAGTTTAAAGTCCATTTCCACCTTTGTAAGTGATTAGCATTTATTGTGGTAATGTAGAGGTGTAGTGATGATGTACAAGTGTCCACGTTTTCATGACTAACTTTGCAGACTTTCTTCATTTTTTATAACCTTTTTTTTACGCTGAGTCCTACAAATTCAAAATCCCCGCAATTCTGTGTAACATGATCACTAAACATGAGCTCTGCCTTTGCACACAATACACTGTCCTGGGGGGTTGCCACTATGAATACTAATGAATGGGGGGTTGAGAGCTCAGGGAGAGCTCAGTTGTAAAAAAAAACAGATTGGATGCAAAACAGAGGCAAATCCAAATGGCTGCTTCATGTACACTCAGTGTACATTGCTGGCATATATGTTTTTTTAAATACCAGTGCAAAGAAATGGGCTTTAAATAAAGATGCATAATTATTTTAGCCCCTAATCGCTTTACATAGTTCTTATTTTTTTTCCCCTCAAAATTTACGTGTACGTACTTTAAAATCTTCTTCCAGTCAGATGTGACCTCTGACCTCCTCCCAGTTATTGGACCAGCTGGCCAGTGGGTAAGGTAGAGTAGCATTGGCAGACTGGCTGTAGACTGCACCATCTGTAGTCCAGATGTTCATGATTGCCTGTGCGCTGACTTCTAGTTTACTGGGTGGGGGGAGATATTGGACTTTCTGCGGGAGACCGCCAGAGATGAGGTGAGTATTGCAGTGAACGCTGCATTTTTTAAAAAAGGTTTAGGGGAAATAAAAACGATTTACACTGAAAATCTGGAGTTGGGCTTTAAAGTACATCAGCCAAAACGTTTGGTTTTCTCATTTTTAACAGAGTGTAAAAGGAATAGAACCTCTGTCAGTTTTTGAGCTGGGAGTAATTAAGAAATCCTGTCACTTTCCCCTAAATAAGCAGTGTGGTAGATTCTGTTTAAACAAGTTGTGCAGACTTAGTGGCCAGAAGTGAGAAAGGAGAGGCAGTAAGCAGTGGGCCAGCTGTTGACATTTGCTAAACGAAATAGCATTTGAATGTCATTGCTCCCAGCATTTTCTGGATTCCTAGAAACCTGTAAGACTAATCAAAGCTCTACCAGCACTTGTTGTTACTTCATGAATTGTTACTTCATGAATCATTTGAAAGGGTTGGATAGGGGCCCGGCTATAAAAAGTAAAAATTTAGCCCAGTTTAATCACATTTTAGGCTGTACTATGCTGAAAAACAGGTTCATTGCATTTATAACATTATCGTCAATACATCTTTACAAAAGGAGAAGCTGCTGTGCCCCACATCTTCACTTTATTTTTAAGCAACAATGTGGTGTATGTACAGCTGTGGTGTTACAGAATTGATTTGCTCCTAGAAGTTAGCTGAAGCTAATGTAAAGTACTATGAGGGGGATTTATCAAAACTGGAGCAGACAGAATCTGAAGCAGTTGCCCATATCAACCAATCATCATCTCTCTTCAGTTGAGATTTGAAAATGAGAGAAAGAAGCTGATTGGTTGCAGTGCTAATCTGCTTCAGATGATTTTGTCTGCTCTAGTCTTGATAACTTCTCCCTATGTCTATTGTAATACATGTTTATAACTGGATACCATTGGAGAAAGGTGGAGTGTTTGCATTCAGCCCATTTGTTACACCTTAGGTGTTGCATACAGTATTATATTCTTTTATTCTGGATCATGTCAAAATAAGTACAAAATTAGCGGCTTCTCTGGCTGCTGCCCACAACGTCATGTAGTCATGAGTCAGATGACCTGGAAGGAGCTGGTTTCACAAGTGAAAAGATGATCTCTCCAATCTTCCATCACACCACAAGCAGCGGCCAAAACGCATCAGGAACCAGCCAACGCATAGGGTATCCAGATACACCACATGAGCTGCTTGGACCCTTCCGATTCACCACATGAGCTGCTTGGACCCTTCCGGTTCTTTGTTAATGATACACACCCAAAGATTCGCAATGTACTGAAAAACATTGATAACATTTTAATGTTTAATGCTTAAAATATTTACAGGGTATTGCACTTCCCATAGATCATGCTATATTTTTATGAATATGATGTAACATTTTAAACTGTCACATTTTGCAAGTAGGACACCTTGTGATGTGTATGATATATATTTGTTGTAAGTGTCAGTAATTTACATCTGCCATTATCAATGCTGATGTAAAGCATGTTTATTAATTGACTGTATCATTTGAATTTTAGGTTTTTAACAACCTTTATTTCCAAGTAACTATTGATGATTTGAGGCCAGAAGCAAAACATGTGTCAATGCTCTGCCATGCTGATTCCCTGGGACTTTTGCCTGTACAATGGTGCCTTATAAATGGAGTAAATCTCACTCCTCCGAAAGGTATGCAGTGCTACATAACCCTGTGCTTTTATCCCGGAGTCCAAACATTGTCATAAATACTTTACTTTGAGCAGTAACGTAAAGAAAAAGATTTATAGGTGTAATTTGATGCTTTGGTGACTTTTATGACCAAAAATAATATATACTCGATGATGACTCATCATCTTTATTCCTTATTAACATTACAGTCCTAAGTGTAACTTACTGTCAACTTTATTATATTTAAAACAATTATTTGTATGGTGAAAAAAAAATTAATAAAACATTAGATACATACAGTATTTTCCACATTAACCTCCTTGGTCGGTATTCCCGAGTGTGGCTTCTGTACCATAAGCGGTAACCCAGAGCCACACTCGGGAATACACAGTGCGTCTCTTACTCTGTCCCTCGAGCCGCGCTGTGTCCTCCGGCCGATGCCGGGTTCCGTCCCTTGCGAGCGTCACGTCGCAGGGGGGCGGAATCAGCGGGAGATTCAAAAGTTTTTAAAAAACGGGGAAAAAAACTAAAACAAATAGAATGAAAAAAGAAAAGAAAAAATCATACCACCAGGGAGGTTAAGTTTCCAGTAGTTCATACCTTTTGGACCTGAAAATCTGAAACCCAAATCAGGTTTTGATGTTAAAACTGATTTGTTAAATTCTCTTCACACTGATGCCACAACGATTTCAGTACCATAAAGTGATGCAAAAATAAGTTTAGAGAAATGCAATCCCACTCAAGAAATCGAAGAGATAAATGGAAGTGACAAATACAGAGCAGCCACCTCAACCTTGATGAATTATATACTGTGGTTTGAATAAAAAAGCTCTCAAGGGCACTCACAATGATTCGAAGTCTCAAGGATGTGATTGCATATAGTGCGCAGCCATGGGTTCCTTACAAGTACAGCATAATCATGATAATTTTATAAATACCTTTACTGCTCTAGGAGACAGAATAATGGAAAAAATTACAGTTAGGGCTCCACAAATACAGGCAGATAAGCATCTGTGTGGATCACTGTGTTCAGGAGTTTAAAATAAGAAAAGTAAATAAATAGAGATAAGTGAATATCTTAAAGCAGATGTTCCACCTAACAAAAAAGGTCCACTTTTTAAATGTGCCCCCCCCTACTCATCCTGAAACGCTGAATAAAACTTACAAACAACACCAATGGGAAATTGGTAAAAAAAGTTAGACAATATGCCTCCCTTTTCCCTGGCTTCTAGCCGTGGTGTCTGGGCAAGGGTGACATCATCTCATTTTGGCAAGATTCAGGGAAATATCGAGCAGCCAAAATCTCACTGAGAAAGTGATCCTGCAGTGTGTTGCAACATCTTCTCATGAGTACAGAGCACTCTCTGGGATTTTGTTTTTGCTGGATGATGACTTCACCCTTGCACTACGGAAGCCAAGGTAAAGGTGCGTTCTTTTC